GGAGGCGGAGCTTGCAGTGAGCGGAGATAGCACCACTGCACTCTAGCCTGGGCTACAGAGCAAGACTCCATTTCCAAAAAAAAAAAAAAAGACCTTGCAAATGACTTCTTTACATAGAGTCTAAATTAAAATTTGGAATCACAAAACACAGCATTTTAGAATCTGGAAAGGATTTAGGAGTTATCTAGGGAAGTTGTTTTCAATCAAGAGTTGGTGAACTAGTACAAGTCTGAGGCACAGTTTTCACACTGCAGGGCAAAATGAGAAAAACATGAGCAATGGAGCAGATTAAAAAAATAAAAATCAGGTTACATGCATTATGTGTAATGAGGTTTCTTATTCAGAGAGTATGTTGCCCTCCTCCCATTTTAAGGTTATTTATGGATGATATGCTAGTAGGTGGTTGTGGTGTGTTTTTATTTCCTTGGTACCCCTGCATTAGTTGTTAGTTCCTTCTTGATTTTTTTTTTTTGAGTTTAATTGGTCTATTAAATCTAAAATTCTGGAAACCCTAGCTCTTGTGTCTTTCCCCTCAGAACTGAGATCCAGAGAGATGATGACTTTGCCCATAAACCGAACAAATAAATACATGTGTCAGTCCTGTGTCCTTCTGCTATGGTATGTAGTGCAGTTGTGTACTTTAAAAAATATTGTCTATATTTGGTGTGATTGGTTTTCTGTTCAGCATTTTAAATTCAGAAATGAACCAGTCAGTTAACATATTTGTTGTATTGCAATTGGAAACAGGCTTGCTCTCTCAGAAGCGTCTGTAACCATATGGTATTACTGTCTGTCAGTATTTGGTGAAGTTTTAAGAAATGTCAGAGTTCTGAAGTTATATATTAAATATATGTAATGTTATTATTGACTTTGATATGAAAATAAAGACTGTTCTCTTTCAATTTTTGAATGCTTACTAAGTTTGAAGATGCTGTAAGCACCTTAAAAAAGAATTTAAATGACTGAATTTGGCTATTGCTGTAGTTCTGCTTTTTAACATCTGAATACTGTTCAACTGAGAAATTCCATTTCTAAGAGCTTATCATAAGAAAATAATGAGAGATACATTATGCAGAGATGTATGTACAAAGCTGTTCATTAAAGCATTTGTGTTAAACATCAGAAATATCTTAAATGTCCAATAATAGGAAATTGGTTAAATACATTTTGTTACAGTCATTTAATGAAAAGTACTTTGGTTATTAATAATGGCTGTACAGTGGACCCTTGAACAACATGGGTTTGAACTCTGCAGGCCCACTTATGCATGGATTTTCTTCCTCCTCTGTTGCCCTTGAGACAGCAAGACCAACCCCTCCTCTTCCTTTCCCTCAGCCTGTTCAACGTCAAGACTACGAAGATGAAGACTTTTTTTATTTTTATTTTTTGAGACAGAGTCTTGCTCTGTCTTCTAGGCTGGAGTGCAGTGACGTGGTCTTGGTTCACTGCAGCCTCTGCCTTCCAGGTACAAGTGATTCTCCTGCCTCAGCCTCCTGAGTAACTGGGACTACAGGTGTGTGCCACCACATCCAGCTAATTTTTGTATTTTTAGTAGAGATGGGGTTTCGCCACGTTGGCCAGGCTGGTCTCAAACTGCTGACCTTGTGATCCACCCACCTTGGCCTTCCAAAGTGCTGGGATTACAGGCGTGGGCCACTGCACAGGGCCAAAGGTGAAGACTTTTATGTTGATCCATTGCCACTTAATGAATAGTAAATATGTATTCCCTTCTTTATGATTTTCTTAGTAACATTTTCTTTTCTCTAGCTTACTTTATTGTAAGAATACAGCATGTAATACATATAACATACAAAATATGTATTAATTGATGGTTTATGTTATTGGTAAGGCTACTGGTCAGCAGTAGGCTGGCAGTAGTTAAGTTTTGGAGAAATTGAAAGTTATCTGCAGAATTCTGACTGTGGGATTTGTGGGGGGATAGGTACCCCTAATCCCTATGCTGTTCAAGGGTCAGCTGCATTTTTATCTTTTACGTTCTTGTCTAAATTTTCTAATTTTATCTACCACAATTATATTTATATAACTAAAAAGTGATAAAATTTGACTAGCTCAATGCTTTGTACAGAATAATGTTCCTTGTTTTTTTTTGTTTGCTTTTTTTCAACTTGACATTGTTGGTTAATATAATTTGACAGCCAATCAAAGTTCAGTATATGCAGATTCTAAGTTGTAATTTTTCGATTTCACCTTTTACATCTTCTATTTTTATGTAATTTTTCTTTCCTGAGACTGAACTGCTGTAAATCAGCACATAGTCCAAGGGGAAGCTGTCATTTTCGCTTTCAGCACTGTGCTGTCATGCAAGTTCTTATTGGAGGTTCTAATTAAATATCAATAGGGACAAGCACCATAAACTCAAAGATCTACAAGACATTTGAAGAAGTAATTATCTAAATATTTCTTTTTCTCCTTTTTTTGAGATAAAGTCTCACTCTGTCTCCCAGGCTGGAGTGCAGTGGTGTGATCTCTGCTCACTGCAACCTCCGCCTCGTGGGTTAAAGCGATTCTCCTGTCTCAGCCTCCCAAGTAGCTGGGATTACAGGTGCACACCACCACGCCCAGCTAATTTTTGTATTTTTAGCAGAGATGGGGTTTCACTATGTTGGCCAGGCTGGTTTCTAACTCCTGACTTCAGGTGATCTGCCTGCCTCGGCCTCCCAAAGTGCTGGGATTACAAGCGTGAGCCACCACGCCCAGTCAATATTTCTTTTTTTCTCTAGACCCAACTGCATCTTAGCTCAGAGTAGGAATATTGGCCACGGGATTTTCTAGGCTTGCAGCCTGTTGGCCTAAAAACTAGAAAGAAGCATCCTTAGTGTTTCCAGCCCCAAAGTAGTCTCCTTGAAAAAGGAAGATAGTAGGAGCTTGATTATATCGTGACTGTGTATGCCTGTGTCTGTGCCCACTTGTGTGTGTGCCAGAGAGGGAGGGAAGGTGAGTTGGAATGGGTAAATGGGTTTCTGGTATCTTTGGCACTAGGTTAGTTTGCCTTTTTATAGCTCACAATCTCCAATCGTTCTTCCTAGCAGCTATCCTACTTTTAAATAAAGAATTAGGCTCGGCATGGTGGCTCATGCCTGTAATCCCAGCACTTTGGGAGGCCAAGGTGGGTGGATCACCTGAGGTCAGGAATTCGAGACCAGCCTGGTCAACATGGCAAAACCCTATCTCTACAAAGAATACAAAAATTAGCCAGGCATGGTGGCGGGCGCCTGTAATCCCAGCTACTTGAGAAACTGAGGTGGGAGAATCGCTTGAATCTAGGAGGCGAAAGTTGTGGTGAGCCGAGACTGCACCACTGTGCTTCAGCCTGGGTGGCAGAGTGAGACTCCATTTCAAAAAAAAAGAATTGATTACTTGTTCTACATCTGATTCTCTAGATTGGAAGAGACACGAGGGCAGAACCATGTCTTTCCCTCTCTCCTACTATTTCCTCAGGGCCTTTTTGTATATACAGTGAAGATTTCATAAATATTTGTTGAATGAATGCCTGTATGGGTTTTAAAAACTTGTCTTTCTCCTCTTTCTTTCTTTTTTTTTTTTTTTTATTTTTCAACCCGGCTAACAGCTTCTATGGCTGTTGTAGCTTGCTTTCTTCTTCTTCTTGCTACTTCTTGAAGCCATTTCTAGACGAGAACTACACCATCAGACTGAAAGAGGTACTTGGCTGCTTCTGCAGCAGAAGGTAGGCCGACCCTCCATCTGTAGTGATCTCAGAAGGGCGGGATCTAGGCCTCAGCCTTGTTTGTGGATTGAGGTTTGCTCCTCCTTTTTTTCTAGCTGTTCCTAAGCTCTAGGTAGTGCTGTACCAAAAGCCAAGGATCTGTCTCAACGTCTGCAGTAACACAGGGCTGCCCTAAACACAGTTGCCTTTTTAGGAAAACTCATTTGGATGAGAACAATCATCTTTAATTTGTGCAACGTACTGTCTTTTATCATGGAAGTGCATGGTGAAGGCAGAGGTTTTTGTTTACTGCTGTTTCCACCCTTAAGAACCGTGCGTGAATGCCCGCTCTGTGAGCCCTCAGAATCTACTGGCCGAATGAGTGCGTGAAGGAGGAAATGTGCTCAGAGCTGCTGTGTGTCATCCTGTGTTTGAAGTGCTCTTGCAGCTATCATTCATCCAGTTAAGAATTTGAAATGTGTGCTATTTATGACAAAGGTGACACTTTGCTTATCCTTTCCCCAAAATTACAGTTCTAAAACTTTCCTATACAATCCTAAATTGGATGACAATTGTCCCATTTTCCTTTTCAAGATGTACCAGACTATTAATATTGGTGACCATGGGCTAGGGAGTATGTTCTTAATAAATTTACAAATCTTCTGATCAGCTATGGACTTTACAAATAGAACAAATCAATTTTTAAATAAAATACTCTCTCTCTCTCTCTATATATATATATTTGTTTTTGTTTTTGTTTTTTTTAGACGGAATCTCACTCTGTTGCCCAGGCTGGCACAATCTCCAATCGTTCTTCCTAGTAGCTATCCTACTTGTAAATAAAAAATTAGGCTGGGCACGGTGCAGTGCAGAATCTCGGCTCACTGCAACCTCTACCTCCTGGATTCAAGCAATTTTCCTGCCTCAGCCTCCAGAGTAACTGGGATTACAGGCATACTCCACCATGCCCCGCTGATTTTGTATTTTTAGTAGAGATGAAGTTTCACCATGTTGGCCAGGCTGGTCTTGAACTCCTGACCTCAAGTGATCCACGGCCTCGGCCTCCTGAAGCGCTGGGATTGCAGGCACAAGCCACTGCGCTTGGCCAAATGCTCTACTTTTTAATCAATGTTTTCCATAATAGGGATTTTTGCTATGTGCTTTAGAAATTAGAGAACAAATGGTGATAATATATGCTAAACTTAAAATTAGTATGCCTCCTTTTATAGACAACAAGAACTTTGTCACTTCCCAGTTTGTCTTGTCATTCAGGAGGCTCAGAGCTACGATCTGTGCCCACTCGTGCTGCCTATTCTTAACTTTGATTTCCTGAAGCAGGGATTTCATCTCCATTTCCCCTCATCACCTGTTCTTTTAACTGTTTAAAAACAGCATTACATTTTGTTGAAAGTGGCCTCAAATTCTTTTTGGTAGAAGGGAAATTATAATTCGTGAGAAGAAAAAAATGTTCCTAACTATTCTCAGGTGCGTTTAAGGGCTGCATTCCATGATGCTATCAATGCCTCTTTCAGCTCACAGGATATCAGCCCTCTTAATGAGCCTGATGTTGCTAGTATCACAGGCACCGGAAAATATGCACATTATGCTGGAGCAGTAGAATGCAACAGAAAGAGCCCTGGGCTTGAAGTATGCAGAACTGGTTCTTGTTACAACTCCTCTTACTAGTGGGGTATGTTACTTAGCCTACTTGGACAAGTTACTTAGCCTCTGTGTGCCTCAGTTTCTCTTCTATTGGGTATAAAATCACGTGCGATACCTATTGCAGTGGATTCTCATGAGGTGAAATGACATAATGTATGCCAGTGTGTTTTGTAAACATTGCAATTGTCTGCATTTTTT